TAAATGATGAGACGTGCAGGACCTACTGGCTGTGGCCCCGACATATGGTGCCCATGCTGGCCCATCCACTTAATATAAATTTCCAGTGGAGGCAGCGAATTTTCCTGCTACCATTCTTGGCTGGGAAACCAGCCACAGCTTCCCTCCTTCTGGGCAGACAGTAGCGCCAGTGGGCAACCTCCTGGGAGGGAAGGAGGTGAAGGAGCAGCTTAGGTGGGAAGAGGGAGGTTCCTGCAGCCACAGGACTCCGCCTGGGCAGAAGGTCCTGGGTGGGAGCCTGACATTGAGCAGGGTCCTGCCCTAGACTGACTAGATCCCAGGCTAAGTAAATCCTGTTTGCTAAATAATTGCATTTTGCAGCTAAATGCCCACAAGTCATCAGTTACTGCCAAACTTAGGGTAAAGTGAGATGAAAGAAGTGAGACAGATACAGAGAGAAAGTGACATAATATTGGGAGAAGAGAGGAGGGAGCCCGATTCTGGGGTGCGTCACCCGAGAACCACCCTCTCGCAATCCAGGACCCCTCGGGGGATGTCAGAGAGCCAGTTTCAGTCCGATCCCCACAGGCCAGGCCGAGGGACCCCACCGGTGCACAAATGTGTGCACTGGGCCTCTAGTAAACTTATAATCTACAAGGAGCCTCAGACTCCATCTAATCTCCTGGTTCAAACTCATTGTATAGATAAGGAAACTGAGACTCAGAATGATAAACTGATGGGATTATAGGGGCTGTTTTATAAGCCTGGAGGATACAGTAAATGGTGGACGTGTGGAGCTCCTGATGTCATGAGCTACCTTATTGGTATTGTTATTTGCACCATCACTTTCAAAGCAACCTCTGATGAATGTTAACGCAGTGGGAAGTTGCCTCCAAAAGAAGGAAAACCTACTGGTTGCTATTGCTAGTTCAATCAGGTAAACAACCAAAGGCAAGTGGTCATTCCAGCTGCCATGTATTTCATTGCACAATTTCCTCTTTTCCCTTACTCTGTTGTGTTTGAACCAATATTATGCCCTTGAGTGTATGTGTATTTCTGAACCAAATCAGGAGCTCAACAGAGCTTTTCAGCACTATAAGAGAGTCTATCATGTCCAGAACCCACTTTCTAGACTTTAATACTTCTGTCAGCCATGCCTTTTTTGAAAACTACTCTCCAAAAATACCCCCTCCACACCTCTTAGCTCAGCTTTTGCTGAATCCACCAGTGTATGTGCATGCCAGTGCCTCCCACCTTCCCAGCCTTGCATGCCTCTAGGACAGCGGTTCTCAACCTGTGGGTCGCGACCCCTTTGAAGGTTGAACGACCCTTTCACAGGAGTCGCCTAAGACCATCCTGCATATCAGATATTTACATTACGATTCATAACAGTAGCAACATTACAGTGATGAAGTAGCAATGAAAATAATTTTATGGTTGGGTCACAACATGAGGAACTGTATTTAAAGGGCCAGAAGGTTGAGAACCACTGCTCTAGGAAGAATGGAATCATCGTGGTTTCCATGGTATTTCCCAGCACTTCTCTGAAACCTCACTGCTTAATTCTGATGTGGGCGCTTATGTTACAGTCATCAATTACTGCATTAAATCAAGTCACAAAACTAATGAGGATTTGGACATAGAGTAGGGAAATGAGAATGTAATTTTGCCTGGATTATAGAATATAAAGATAAACATGGTCCAAATAAGCATGGAGAGAAGAAATCACAGATTTTTATAGGTGCTTTCTAACAGAAAATATGGACTTACGCATCTCATCAAAACTGAGAATAAGATAAGCAAAGTATTACCATTGGTAACATTTAAATAAGGTTTAGTTCACTGTGCATTTTATTTTCAGCTCTGACATCTAAATAGAGAATATTTTTTTTCCTATGCCATAAAAATCATTCTATTACTAAAGCTAGAATCTTTTTAAGTTCTTGCATAGGATGAGGCAAGGATGGGAGGCTATGTGAAAAAAAGTTGTCCCTGTATATGTGTAGGTAGAGTCAGTCATTAGATAGGATTGTTTGGAAAGCACCATTGGATATCTTTCTAGAAATCTACACTCCACCTATATTCTGTGGTGTCTGTAACCTACCATTAGAGGGAGAAGGCATGTCAATCCCCAAGAGTTCTCTATACAATTCAAGTACTACTGCGAAGGCTGAATCATCAATACCTAGAATTATGAATGGCATCAAAAGGGATTAACAAGCAAATCTCTTCCAACACTATTAAGGAATAAGTTGTAGTTCAGGTAAAGTTTCATTATGAGGGTAGCCAATACTTTGGTGCTATGAGGTGCTGTTGTGGAGGGACAAACCTATAATTAATTATGGTTTTGAGGACTTTCTTCAGTTGAGGGTAACAAAGGCCTCCAGTCAGTCAATTAAGAAGGCACTAAAGGCAAATAGTATTTCCTTAACAACATTGCTATGGCCATACCCATACTAGAAAGTGGGTTCTGTACATGTAGTAATCCTTGAAGCAATTTTTAACAGTTGGAAGGTCATAGCTTCCTTAGAAAGATAATTATGTTTTCCTCTAAACAAACAAAAAAGAGTTTAAATAACCTAATATTAAAAATGTGCAAAGTTTTAGGGGAATTTAAGGACAGCCTGGAGTTTTCACCTACCCCTCAGATTAAGCACCCCTCAAGGAGTGTCTGGAGTTTGTAGGGATCTGTCTTGGTCAGTTTATTCATTAATCTCATAGAATACCAACAGTGAAGGAAAAGCTAACCCAGCCAGCCACAGGACAAACTCCACTCTATCCAAAACTATTTTAGATATTTCAGAGCCTGTAATATGCTACAGTTGGAACCAGAGATAGAAGAATTGCCCGTGGATCTAGGTCTGGGGAACATTATATTCTTCATAGTCCTAGAATAGAAAGGACTTCATGGAACAAAAGAAAAAAAAATCCCTGGTTTTATTTCAGCAGTGCAAGATGCCAGGTATTTACTAGAGCAAATGCCACCCAAAGCCCAGAGGGTTAGCTGGGGCAGCTGATGCCCTGTGCTGCTTTTTATAACTCTTCTTCCATGTACCACGCTCTACATATGTCCCATTTCATCAGGTCACATCAACTTAGGTTGTGCTCAATACTGCATCTTACACCAAATGCATCACCATGTGAAACATTTTGTTTCCTTAAAAATTTTTGTAAGAATAAAAGTAAAGTTCCTTAAAAATAAAATAAGGGAATTTCCTGGTTCTTTGTGTAAGCAGTGACTTTGCTACTTTTTACAAATGAGTAGCCTCTTTTGTTCCACAAGGCATTGGGGCTGTTAAGCATCATCAAGCTGTGAAATTACTAGGTTAAGAATGGAATATACAGTACAAACCTAAATTGTATATAGAGTTGTGAAATGAGTTTTAATGGTATGAGCCTGTAAACTTGTGAAAATTATTCACAAAGACACTAGCTGTCCACTTTTTTTGGGGGGGGGTAATAATATTGGAGAAAAGGGAAGAATTTTATAAAAGATCTTTAAAATGTTAATACTTATTCAATGTATTAGAAAGTCTAATATACAATACATTGTCTAGACCTTTTGAAGGGGTTACAGGAGATGCAAAATCCAAATGTGTTGAGTATAAAGAGCTTACTAATTAGAAAAAATGTTAACTTTAAAATACAAACAGCCATCATTTTATTCATTGATCACATCCTCTGTGTCATGTATTGTGGCAAGTATTTTTTAAATATGTTTTTATTGGTTTTAGATAGAGGGAAAGGAGAGGGAGGGAGAGAGAAACATTGATTGGTTACCTCCCATACACACCCTGACCAGGGATTGAACTCACAACCTGGACATGTGCCCTGACCTGGAATCAAACCAGCAACCTCTAGAAGCACAGGATAATGCTCAACCGACTTAGCCACATCGGCCAGGGTGGTGGCAAGTATTTTTATATACTCTATATCAGGGGTCAGCAAAGTATGAACAAAGGGTCAAATCTAGTCTACAACCTGGTTTTGAACATAAAGTTTTATTGAAATGCAGCCACACTCAATTGTTTGAGTATTGTCTATGGCTGTTTTTGCGCTACAATGGTATAGTTGAGTAGTTGTGACAAAGTTGAGACAGTCTAGCCTGCAAAGCTAAAATACTGTCTGGCCCTGTGCAAAAAAAAAAAAAAATTTGCTCTATATCATCCAGTATCACAAGAATACTCAGAAATAAATATGGTGTTTCCCATTTTACTGTTAAGATACCTGAGGGATATAGGTTATGTTACTTAATAAGTGACAAAGCTTAGATTTGATTTTAGATTTGTTGTATTCTGAAACTCCATGTTCTTATGCTATATTCATGTACAGAAATAGCCAAAATGTGAGATAATAAGAAATAAGAGCTTTACAAATTCACAGAGAAACTTATTAGAATTCAGAAAAGAGAGATTATTTTGAGTCTGGAGTGATGAAGATTCTGGATATTATATTAGAATATAAAGGCTAAAATGGATCTTAGGAATTGTCTGTCTCAAGCTCAAGCCCAAGAAAAGTTTAGAGATCAAGTTCACATGTTTTGTTAGAAGCAGAGCTGGGATTAGAACCAGTTTTCCACACACCCAGCCCTAAGTATGCTGTCAGTGACCATGGTGAGCATTGAATTTCCATGTGTGTGTGTGTGGGGGGGGAGAGGTTAAATGTTATGGTATGACAGTATTATTTGAAATGATACTTTGTACATTATGTTCTATTATAATTGAACTAAAGGGCTTCTACTTCCTTTATTGAATTCATCAATAACACATTTGTGCAGATATTTACACAATACCATCACCCATCCACCATCC